CCGATCTTCGACTCCAGACCCCTATCCGGCTGCCCAGGCCGCTCCCACCTCATCCGTAGATACCGTGTTTGATTAAGCACTGTCGCGTTCGCCATCTCCAGCCGTTCCGGAGCCTCGTTATCTTCCGAACTCATCCACTTCGGTCGCGGTTGTCCCCGTAATTGAAATTTAAGATGATGGCGACTTAGAAGATGTGGAGGTGTCGCCGACAGGGGAAACACACAGCAAGACTTGCTCTGTTAGTCCGACCCCTGGGTCCACTGCGCTCTCGGATTGCCATTTGTCCGATAGCGACAACAGCATCACCATTCCGGCGCGCCAAGTGGCAAACAGAGTCCTCTCTCCAGTTGATTATGGCGATCTTCCAGCGCTTTAGCAAGCGCGGGATTAGTGGATTCCCAATTATATGGCTCCTTCCCGACGGGTAGCTTCCGCGATCGCTCCTTGCTCAGTTTAGCGGATCGCGATGATCTGCGTGAGGACCATAACCATTGAGCTGCTGTTTCACCACAATTCCAAGCCAAGGATTTTTCTGTTCCCCTTCCACCCTCATGGGCGAGCTCCGCCTACCGGGAATTGGGCACCTGGGCTGATATCGCGGCGACACATCGAGGCTCTCTACGCTACAGCCCCTTGGGATAATATCGTGATTCCTGTGAACCCGATATCGTTCACCATGACTGGATGGTATCGTGATATTAGTCATCGCTACCTGGAGCTTGAGTCCACTCATCGACAAGCTCTGTGGGAATCCACTCATTCTTTCCCGATCTCACGGCTCAACAACGATCTGAACAGTTCATGCAAGCATTCTGGCGCCAACGAAAGCAACACTGATCTCGCTTTGGAGCGCGTTCGAAAGAGCTTCTTAAAAATGATACGCAGCGGCACCATTGCTGGCCACTGGGATCTTGACATCTCGCTGGATCCTTTCTTCCTCCACTATCTGCACCCACATGAAGAGCGAGTTTGGTATCCAGGGTTAGGACATTCTAACAACCCAGCCGACTTGCTAGAGGCATTGGACATGGCTGACCAAGAGGATCCTTGGCGCAATCAGTTCCGTAACGCCTATTGGGATCACCCCAGATCGTACATCCCTCGTCTACAGGACGTGTTCAAGCCTGCTCCATCATCTTAGTCCAAGATCGGTGTCCAAGCCCGATCGTCTTTCATGATCGTGTAAGTCATTCAATCATCTTCTTTTTTGGTACTTCATTCTTTGAAACTTCCACTACATCAATCCTTCTAGCTTCACATCATTTAGTAAGGTAATCCACTTGACTGTCTCCATAATCACACACAAACCACCATCTGTCAGCATGTGATATCTCTTAGCACATCTTGCAACCTCATTTACCAACATGTGCTACCTCCTAGCACATCTTTCAACCCTTTCATCCGAATATGCTACCTCCCGCATACTTGTTTGAACTGTTAAGGCTCATCCGACTTGCCTTCGTGAGACTGCATCGTTTCGAAACGGTTTTGACTCACTCGGTTCCGCTCAAACTCCTGCAAAATCGCCCCACGACTCAGATCGGCCTCATCTACCCAACTTAAATCGGGATGTAACTTCTACTTCACCAGAAACTGTCGGTGTACTAAACCATAACGGGTTTTCCTACCAGATCGTACGTCCAATATTTCTTCTACTTCGTAATCTCCCTCTTCAAGATCGCTCTTCTAACTGTCTTCTGATAACAAAGCTTCATCAAAGTCCAAACGATCTGCTTCGTCTATCGTAAGCTGATCCTTCGGCCGTTCAGGGAACGTCTTTACCTTCTTCAACTTTGATAAATGTACGATCGGAATAGCCGATATGGAGTTCCAGCAATCTCCAATTTTACAGCGTGATCTCCACATATGTCTGCAACTCGAAATGGACCATGCCACATATGCGCTAGCTTCTTCGCATATTTCTATTTGACTCGATCCAGGTATAGCCAAACTTGTGTATCTACTTCGATCTCGTGTGGTTCCAGATCTTCATTGTGTCGATCCGCTCGCTCCTGGATTGCGGCTAGTAGATGATCGTTCACTACAGATCGGGCTCGCTGGTATTGTCTTTGGATTTTGTATCTCCACCTCTTTGGATAGTGATCTCGTGTTCTCGTGTTCCCCACTGATAGCGAAGCTTCCAATGTCGATCGCGGGTCCCACCCATGAATCAGATAAAATTGGGTGTCCCCCCGGATCCGATCTTGTGCGGTGTTTATTGCAAATGTGAGTCGCTCAGCATACTCATCCCAGTCTCGTTGATTAACATCGGCCACGTACATCTTGATTAAATGCGTTAAGGTTTGCAAGATCCGTTCGGCTGTTCCATTTGCTTGTGGCCTGTAGGCCATGGTAGCACGCTGTTTTGGTCCTACGATCCAACTGAAGGTTCGAAAAATATCGGACAAAAATCCCGGTTCTCGATTGTGCCTGATAGCCTCGCTAGCTCCAGAGCGTCGGAACACACATTCTTCGTAATTCTCCGCTAGTGTTTGTGCCGTCCATGATGAGCTAGCCTATGCAATCACATATCCCGAGAAGAGTTCCACCCAAATGAGCAGCTCAGTATTCCCCTTGATAGAATTGGGCAACGATGGTGTATGATCTATTAAGATGATCTGGAATGGACAGGTTGCTTGCAAGTTGCCCGAGGATCTCCTATGAATCGTCGGACTTCCTTTTCCGGTTTCACAGTCGGTACATTCGCCCACATATCGTTGCACACTCCGATACAGTCATCTCCAATGGAATCGCGATCTGATCCTCTGATAGGTTCTGCCGATACCTTGATGGCCTCCTTCCAGACTCGTATGATACTGATGCGAAAAATCCTGCTGCAACGTCTCAGGGATCCCCAACTGTATCAAACCATCGCGACCTTCTGACTCTCTTTTCGCCATGGGCAGAATAATAGCAGATCGTTCTCATCGATCTCGCATTCCGGCGCCAGTTTTGCGCACAATTTCACTTCTCCCGCGACCAAGTTTGATACATCGCCACTTAGGTACTTCCTGAGATTGCCAATCCAATGCTCTTCATCTTAAGCTTGGACAATTCGTTGAATATCAGTCCTCTGCACTATCTTCTCCTGCATCACTTCAGGTTCATGACGTATCCTCCCGGATGATCTCCTGATCGCAGTTATCCGAGCCAGCTGACCATCTTGCTTGGGCTTCAACAATTCATCGAGATGGTTCAGAGTCATCAGATCTTGCCGATCTTCTTCAGCTACAACGGTTCTTCCCTTTTCATTCTGCAATGCTGTGCTGGCTAGTCGATCTGCGCTCTGGTTCCACTCTCGCTTCATATGCAGAAACTCGTGACTAGGCCAATATCGCAATTTCTCTAACGCTTTATGTTTCAAGAGTTGCAGGCCCGGGGCTTTGCAGTCGATCTCACCGCGCATCTGGCGATTTACCAAATTAGAGTCCTCACAAAAAAAATTCTTCCCCTGTCCAGATCGGCCAGTAAATCGAAGCATACTAGCAAGCCATGATGCTCAGCTTCATTCACGGTGAGGTCGAGAGCGTATCTGGATTCTGCCGCCACGATCGTCCACTCGGGTAACCTCCATATCACAGCACTGTACGACCTTCCTTTCGTTTTGATCCTCGCCGATCCATCGAAACTGGCCACCAGCAACTCCTCATCTGCTTCCACCGTTGGAGGAGGCGTCGATATTTTGGGTCGGCAGTCCTTTTGGGGAGAAATCGAAGTCAGCATCTCTTCCACCTCTTCTTTCAGAGTGGTCCTCGCTGCTAGCAAGCCCAAAATCTCTTCTTCTCCTTTTTCGTACCTCTTCACCTCCATAGTGAAGTTGGACAGCAAAGCAGCCCACCTTCCTAATCTCCCGTTACGACCTCGAGACTATTTCAACCACGCTAACGTAGAATGTCGGGTCAGCACAGTGATCTCCCGCGAGTCAAGCGTAGTATAGCATACGTCCAAAACACGAAGTAACGCCAGCACTTCCTTTCCACCGTTCCGTAATTAAGCTCATTGGGCTTTAAGGTGCGGCTAGTAAACGTCACCGGATGGTACACGCCATCGTAATCTTGTATCAGGGCCGCTGAAACAGCCCACTTGCTATCGTAGACCACGATCACGGGATTGCGATCTGGGCATAAATGTTTGAGCATGGGAGCTGTAGCTTTATTAGCCTTTAGCATAGTGAAAGCAACCTTGGCTTCTGTCCATCGATCCTCGTTCGACCATACGTCCCCTGCTGCGAGCTGAAATTGACCGATCTCGAAGAAATCCGATTCCCTCAGCTCGTATAACACAGCGGCGTATACTACAAAGTCCTCAATAAAACGGCGGTAATAATTAAGGCCTACGAGAAAAGATGGCATATCTCGCAGCGTTCTAGGAAACAAGATGTTGACCAACGACTTCAAGTTCTTGGGCTGAGCCTCCAGACCATCCATCGACACTCGATGTCCCAAATAATCGACCTTGCGGCACCCCCAAAAGCTCTTCGTGAGACTAATAGAAAGATTCCGCTTATCACCTGCCTCCAGCAACCGTTCTACTTTTGTGTACAACGAATCCCATGACGTGGGTGGTATGAGAATATCGTCAATGTAAGATCGGCGTCCCAGTATAGAGGGTCGTCGATCTGTCCCAGGTTCTCCATCTTTGAACACGTCGATCTGGCCATCAGAGGCTGATCTCTGGCCGATCTTGAGATATCCATACAACGCATTGTCAACCAGACATTGGTAAATTTGAGGTGCGTTCTTAAGCCCAAAGGGCATTCGTAGCCACTCGAAAGGGCCAAACGGCATGACAAACGCTGAGATCAGTTTTGCGCGTTCAGTCATTTCGACGACCCAAAATCCACTAGCCATATCTAACGAGCAGTACCATAGAGCAATTCAGATCTTCCAGCAGATCGCTAATCAGCGGCATGGGATAAACTATCAGGCGCGTCAGCTGGTTCACACTTCGATAATCAATGCAAAGGCGAAAATCCACTCCGTTCTTCTTGATGATCATCACTATCGGAGACGCACAAGGTGACGTGGATGGCTGAACGATCTTGGCTGCTGACAGTCCTTTGATGAAATCTGACAGCTTCTCCAGATATTTGGGTGTGACCGGACGGACTCTTTGCGCAATTGTTGCGGCTCCACCGACATCGATATCACCAATCGCCCCTCGTGCCGCTGGTGATAGAGCGTTGCCCTTCCCATAAGATAGTGACGGCTCTTCCAAATGGACGATATGAGTCTTTGTTGATCTGCGGTGAGAGGAACGTCCGGATCGCCGATCTGAACGTCGTTCATTGTCACTCCGTCCGTAGAAGTGGACATCTCTGGTAACACCACCAGGTGCTGCTCGATATCTTTAGCAAACGAATCTCCACTTTCGTGATAGTAGACTGGTGCTTCTGCGGAGTCAGCTTCGTCGATCTTAGACGGCTTGTCCTCTTCAGATCTTTGCGTCGCCTCGGACCGATCCAGTCCTGCTCTGTTGTCTGCAAGATTGAGGTCCAATGAAGACAGTCTGTTGTCTTGTTCTTCTCTTTCGGTCCCGTGATCCCTTCTCATCGCAATCTCGGTTTCGATCTCACGATCATTTCTCTTCGATGATAGATTTGTTTCATCGAGCTGAGTCGAGCCGTCTCCGTTGACCGTTCCTTCCCTTGCAACCACAGTATCTGCATTTTGCAAGTCGTTGTCGCCAGCTTGCTGCGTTACCATGGAGATCGCTGGAGGTATGTCATTTAACGCATCAGACGGACGCTTCATGATGCATTTGGGAGTGGCGTAGGTAGGGCGATCTACCAATGGTCCGATCTGCTCTTTTGGGAGTTCATTCACTCGATCCGTCGTAGCCTCATACGTCAGATTTTGCCACTCCTTGTACTTCCCGATCCTTACAAAACCTTGAGTTCGTGGTACCATATCGCCTTCGGCCACAAGCCTAATATAGTGTGGGTGGGCAGTATGATCTCACGGTCGCCAATGTTGGTCATCTGCAGGTATTTCGTTTTACCCAACCCCGAGATCACAGTGGGAACCCAATCTGGTCTTCTAGCGACCCGCAACTTCATCTTAGCCCCTCCTATCCCGATCTTCACTTCTCTTGACTCTCCGACCGGGATAACCACATGTTGTTCCTTCGACTTCACATGTTGTATCTTCGATCCGTACGCGGGGCGACGTCCTGAGAGATGGATACGGATTTCTTCCGGTAGACATAGCGCGCCATCAGCTAGATCGAGCCGCACTCCGGCAGGCACCATAAAGTCCATGCCCAGAATCGCTTCTTGCCCTGCCAGATCGCCTACCCATACATTGAAATAGTATACCAGCGATTCCACGATAATAATTTGATCTTGGTTCGTCCCATTGTCATGTACGGGGTTTCTCCGATCCCGATACATTTTTGTCGCTGACTTTCGTCAATATTGCAACCGAGATTACGAGCAAAGGTGGTGTCAATGATTGACACTTCAGCACCAGAATCAAATAGCAGATTGGCCTTTTTGTTGTTGATCTTGCCAACAGATTTCGCCTGTTTGAACCACTTCCCGGGTGAGTAATATTTCCAGTGTCCGCGAGATTCACCGTAAGCGAGCTCGATCTCCATAGATGGTTCAGATCGCGAGTACTCATCGATCCTCTTTAGATGGGACACGGAAAAGACACGTTTTGATTTCGAACAAGATATATTTGTTTCCATCTCTGTGTCCTGCTTACTCTCGCGATCTTTCTTCTTTTTTCCACGCATGCAATGATGCAGAGCCCAAAACGCTCGGCTCCTACCAGATTCAAACCTGGCGAGCGTCCTAGTTTAACATCTTCTTGGCCTTCTCTGGCAGAATCCCCGCATGCTTGGTTGGGACGTACCACTGGCAGATCATGTTGTAGAACTCTTCCATAGGACACTTCCTAGGGTCATACATCTCACCGCAGGCGCGACACACGAAAAAACAATTGTCAGAGGGGTGTCCTTTACACCCACATTTCTGGCAAGTAAGCCGCTTCCAGCAACCGAGATATCCATGCTTGGTCGATCCGTAAGGAGTACACGGCTTCGATGGCATATTGCGATCTTGATAATCTTGACGAGTGTTCGGGTAGGCCGATCTCGCGTTTGCTGCAACGTCATTGGAGGATGAACGCCGATCCTTAGTATCAGCCACATGGATCGATCTCAATCGACCTTCCAAATCCGATCCGCAGGTGTCCGATCCTGACTCGCTGCAGACGTCCTCGGTACGGACCGTCCTCAACGCTCGTGAAGGCTTAGAAAACGCTGGACTTGGAGTTCTCTTCTGCCTGAACTTGGACGATACCATCATCACTTTCTCTTGACGCGATCTCCCTTGTTGATATCCATGCAGTGTCTTTTGCATGGCATCCGCGTCTTCTACATTCAGCAATAGCAATTGATTGGACAGATCGGGGTCGTCCAAGGTGTAAATGAAATGGTTGACATGTTCCTTGCGCGCAGCTGGCAATCCAGTCATCACCGGTATCTTCGCCTGCATTCCCATCACATTAAGCCGATACAAGTCATGCAAAGGATCTTCCTCCAATCGTTTCTTTGCATGGTAATATTGCCGGCTCGTCGACATCGCGTGTCCCGCATATTCCACAAGAAAACTGTTCATCAATTCTTTCCAATTGAATCTCGTCGATCTACTCAGCTGTCGGTACCAGTAGCGGGCTGGGCCCACCATGAGATCACCGAAGACCAGACATCTCTCTTCGTTCGGTGCTTGGTCCCGAATAAACGCTGACTTTACTTTGCCAATTCGTGCTTTGCCTTCTTCCCGATCCTTCCCTAAGATTTCTTTCAGCTCAGAAATCGCTGAGATTCTGATCCTCTGCGTGATGCTTCCCCCTCCGATAGTCACACCGGTCGCGGCTACGTGAGGGCGCCGTGGTTCGGGCATCCATAAATCATCCGGGTCGTATTCCGCCCCATGATGGATCTGTTGGTAAGTATCCGAATCCACCGATTCCATCTCCACATCCGGCATGTTATGGCTTTCGTGTGAGGGTTGGAGAAAAGTACGGTGATCTGGGTGGCGGTTTGGCTGTCGATTCATTCGCTGAGCTGTACGTTGATCCGCCTCGTACTTCTTCATGGCTGAATTGAAGTACCGACTTAGATTGCTCTCTTCCTGATCATCCAGCCTAGTACGGGTACCGACCGATCTCCGAGCCATGTCGCTCCTGGCTTGTCCTTTTAATGGCGCCGGTCTTGGCTTTGCCGATCTTGTCCTTTAAGAACGTACCACCCGATGGTCCCAGAGACATCCGATGAATGCTGATGGATCCATCTGACTCGCTCTCGGAGTCATCCGAGGCGTAGTGGGGCGATCCCGCGGGGTGTTTCCGGAGCGAGCCCGAGGGTGTCCCGATCTTATCTTCAGGAGTATTCGCTTTGCCCACCAGCATTATCATGATCTCCACAAACTCATTCGCCGCGTTCTTCAACGGTTCAAGCTGCAACTTAGCAGTTCATCTCCATCAAAGGCGTTAGTGCAGACACCATGTCGTCCAACATCTGCAAAATCAAATTGATCTCGTTGACTTTTATGGTCCCAGGAGGTGGGCTGAGATCGGCTTATCCAGAGGACCAATTAACTTGGGCCTTAATTCTAGAGCACTGGGTCCGTCTTGAGCAGCGTCTTCAAATGGACACAAATGTACTACCATTTCGCACGCCCCCGCGCTTCACTTGTCGTCTCCTTCTACCTGGACGCGATCTTCATTGAGTTATATTCCGTCTTCGGCATCGCGATCTTATCTGGTGTTTCATCGTATGCCTCTTTGACTCCGATCTTCGATTAATCAGTTCGGCCAATCTGGCGATCTTTGACGTCTGATCGTATCGATCTCGTCGTGGATCGTTCCGATGTGGTCGATCTCGCGATTGTGCTCCTCGGCTTGAGGTCGGGCGACCTAGCGACTAAGGCACAGGGTTTGGCTTTCGCCGATTTGGTTTTTACCATTAAATTTATATCCAACAGATCGCTCTTTCCAGAGGGATCTGCGGTGGCCCCCGAAAATACACTATGAGGAGGTTGAAGTAATCATCCAGATCGATCTCTCGATCTTCCTCTTTCATATTTCATTTCATCAGAGCCCCTCCCAAAACTCTGATGATCTGAGAATCTTGTGCTTCTGCGTGTCTGCGTCGATCCCTCTGTCGCTGACACTTCAATCCCAGGATCTTGCTTGATCTTGACATCTTCGCCAGTAGACTCACGGTGAAATCCAGAGGCCTCAGAAGATCCGGGCACGCGCACCATTGTGGTGAAGCAGATCTCACAAAGTTACTTTAGTGAGTGTCGATCTTCCACTTGCCCAGACTTGCCGACTCACGGAGGAGGTACTACGATCCGTGTCTTGCTGTATAACCTTGTGCTCACCTTGTGTACCCGTCGGTTGGGCTGGCTTGAGCTCTTCGTAACGGCCTTGGAGGATGTCGATCTCGCTGAGAGGTTGGGTTGAGAGTTCGCTTCCGGTGCGGAAATCTTCACACCACGAACAGAGGTTCGGCGATCTTAATCTCGAGTCGCAGCAATCTCTAGTTAGAGATGTCGTGATCTCGATCTTGAATCGCACCGATCTCGATTTGTCTTCGGGATCGGGGTCTTTGCTGTGCGGAAATCTTCACTCAGCAGATAGTAGTCTTGCGTCGATCTTGCCTTGGGATCGGTCCGATCTGGTCTTGGGATCGTCCGATTTTGCTGGAAGTGCGCAATTTAGGCAGATTGGTCCTTGGTTTCGCCAAAATGAAACACGACGATCTGTCCAGTGGATCGCTTCAATCTTGCTCGGTCTTTTCTTGAACGCCTTGTCCAGATCTTCTGACCACTTGAGCCGTCTCGCGATCTTGTGTCCAAAATCCTTTTCCTTTGCTGCTGCTACCCTAGCAGTTGAGTTGAGAGTGAGTACTTGATCGATCCGGGCCAAACTTCCCGAGATCGGTCTTCTGTGTCCTTGTAACACGCGTGCCTTGACCTGCCGGGGAAGCCAAATCAATCTTGCCCGGAGAAGAGGGGAGGAGAACGTGCGTCGTGAGCAGAAGAAGTAGAGTTCAAGTCTGTTTATTAACCAACCAAATTAATATCCAACCTATCTTTAAGCCTATTCCCAACTATAGATCACTCTCCATGTCGATATCACCTTTAAGCTTGACCGCCCCCTTGAACACATGTCGAAATTTCATGACCTGTACTCCAAAGATAGCGCCAATATCCCCGATATCGTACCTAAACGCCAAAAGAGGACCAAATCCCAAGTGTGGTACCAAATACCCATTTTTGGTACCCAAAAGCCCGAAATAGTGCCCAAATGCCGAATGCGTCTGAATCCATTTTGCGTCGTCAATTCAACCGGCTTCCACTGGCTCTTTCAATCTGAACTTTTGAGACATCACTCATGGACCGTCAACAAGCATGTTTGGCATGATCCAAAAGTCTCATCAACGATGTATCCATAATCAGTGGGGAACATGACCCATCTGATGCCCAATTCGAGATCGTTGAGGATCGACACAGTACAATCCGGCCATATATGTTCTTCCGTTCATTTTGTGTACTCCGATACCATCCCCAAGGGTTTATCTGCTCAATGGGACCATCCACAATTCTTACAACGGTCCCACGGACTCCCACAACATCCCCACTTCCAGATCGGGCCATAATTAACCTAAATCAGTACTCCCTTTGGGAGACCCGTAGAGAGTGTCACCGATCTGTAGGATGTTACAACTTCGTCAAAGAGTCACATCACATCACCTGGTCCCAGATCTTTGTCCCAGATCGCTCCATGGAAATCGTTCTATTTGTCGTCTTGTCCCAGATCGCTCCGTCTCAGTTCGTTCCATACCCATCAGTCTGACGACAGTCAGATCGGATCGCCGATCCCCGTTGAGACCGCCTTCCATCTCCTTATCGGATCGCCAGGACCCATGGCCTCATTTTCCACCAGTAAGTGGCGTCTCAAATATGTGGCCAACGATCCTCGTACAAAATTTTGATTAGTGACTTCGCCACAAACACGATCACAAAATCCCATCCCAAACACGGTCAAGTTTGCCCTCGACACGAGTCCACCTGGAAGAGTGAAATCTGCCGTACCGACGGGTACACAAGGTGAGGAAAGCAAAATACACAAAATCGGAGTACCTCCTCTGTCAGTCGGTCGTCCAGGCGCCGGTGGAGAGTCGGGATCGTCTCAAGAAATGAGCGATCACCACTCCACCGCAACGGTGCGCGTGCCCGAATCTACTGATGACTTGGGTTTTCACCGTGAGTCCCAGAGTGAAGAGGTTAAATATAAGACTGAACCTGATATGGAAGAGTTAGAGGCTAAGGGATTGTCGCAGACGCACGAATTTAATAGATCCCCAATTATCGGAGTTTTGGGAGGGGCCGAATAACAATACGATGAACGAGGAAGATCGATCTTTCGACCTGGAAGAAAACTCCAAACCCCTCCTGGTGCCCCTTCGGGTACCACCGCGGATCGTGCTGCAAAGTACGATCCGCTGAATGATAACCTATCAGCAAAACTACACAAAAATTACAAAAGATCACTCAGGCAATGTCGAAGAAGAAGATTGTGAAGGCAGATCGAGTGAATAAAGAAGCGTGCAGATCGGATAACATGATCGCAGTGCTAAATTAATCGACTTAGTTAGTGGACGATGCTGTGAAGATGAAAGGCTTGCAGCTGCATCAACTGGCGCAGGATACTAATGAAAGGCGCATAAGATCTGCTATCGAGCAACCCCGTGCAAAAGATATTGGAGCGTAAGCTGATTATAGAAATTAGAGGTAAGTTATTCCTACCGAAGGCGGCAACTCATTCTCGAAGGGATCAACGCGATCATCCAGATACTAATGTATGCGGAATACGTAGCTAGAATGCTCGACGCGGAAAAACTGCTGGATTGCGACCAAGATCAGGTGATCCACGCGTGTCGATCGCAACATTACAATTTGGTTCCCATGACGGTTAAGCGCGAATTCACGGATCGAGCTGTTGCTACGATCGTCGACGCCCCGAGAATAATGATTGTCGCCAACACTTTGCCTCGGCGAAATTTCAGATGGATTCGGACGATTTGGTCGGTTTTAAGCGGATGTCTTTAGGCACAAGTGGAGCAGCACATCTGCGCGATCGGGTGTAGATGATCAAGATTAAACTGCGGTCGACGTTCACTGGAGCTAAAAGGAAATGACGTCAACTAGGCAAGGAAATTTGCGGACATGCCTTGATGAGGCCATGAAACGTTTTAGCAAGATCAGCGGAAACCGACAGATCAAGCGATCTATACAAGCCAACGGATAAAGCCTGTAAGAGCCCGAGAAACTTTTATTTCGGATGTTGAGATGAAATTGGTACGATCGCACATCAGTCAGTCAAATTTCTTAGACCCTAAAGATGCTGATCCCCACAACTCAAGGCAAAAGGAGCGGAGACGTGCAATTGTGGCCACCACAGAGACGCAGCAGGAAGGTGTTGAAACCACCAGCGTAATCGATTGTCGGCAACGACACAGCTTAAGAAAATCAGTGGCAAAGATCGAGACGAAGATCGAGTCAGAAGCTGGATCAGCAAAGCCAAGTCGGCGTTTCCGCGAGATCAGGCTCCTGATGAAAATAATGTTTAGTTTCCGGCGATCTGTAGACGGGACCTGCGCGAAACTGGTAAAACTAACTGAGCCGATCTACCCGGTACAATATTAAGCGATTGCTGGATTGTTTCATGGTATTTTATCAAGGCCAAGGTGTGTCTTTGGCCAAAATATTATCTCGTGCGGAAGCGGCCGGATGAAAACCCGCTGTGGTGTCTGCATCGTGTAAATGTAGCAGCCAATCACGCTAATATCGCGATCAAAGAAGATAAAATGGCTACCGCGGCCATGCGCCGCGAACGTGTGGAACATTTAATCGCTACGCTTGATGACCGCCATCTAGTGAAATTACTAACTCTTCTGCAATTATTCGAAATTGATGAAATGGAAGAAACTCTCCTTGGATGCCTGTAGATGGAGAATCGTCTGGTGAAAGCGTCGACGGGATCGAACAGATTCCATCAGCGGACGACTGCCTCTCCTAATCAAATGTCATCGAGGACATCCCGGGCAGTGAGGGCGATCCGCGAGAAAGTAGAGAGCAGCGAATGAGAATCATGCTCAATTGAATCCGATGAAGGCAAGGATCGTCGACGAGTGTGTGTGACTACTACTCCTAATCAAGAAAAATCGGACAAGGATCATCGCGTTTGGCATAGGAACACTGGTGAAAGTAATGAATGTGACTGGAGTGGTAATACGAAGGCGTGTACCCATTGCTGTTCTACCAGACCGACGGTCGAGGATGCTGGCAGAGACTAACGTGCCAGAAATGTGGCCGCAAAGGACATCCATTGAACAAGTGTCTATA